GATTAAATATAATTATTTTGCAATTCTTTTTACCTCGTTCGATCAGACATCTTAAGAAAATTTTTATTTGAAAATTAATATTTTAAACGTGAAGGAGATTCACTGACTGCATTTTTTACAATTCTTGAAATAGAAAAATTACAAAATAATCTTGTCGTCGCGCGTGACTAATGAGTTGCACTTGCACCTATAGTTTTTCACTGCATCATAGTCAAACAAATATTTATGAATTAACATGCTTTCAAGACGCTAACGCGTGTCTATTTGAAGACGCTAACTTTAGCTTCATTATATATTTATAATTCTTGCTTATACTGCAGGATCTCCTATTTTCTTTTTAGTAACAATGTTTAAAGGTAAAACTGTTGAAAACAAACCAAAAACTTCACACTTTTTTCTCTCACAGGCTTAAGCACAGGGTGTTTCACGAAACATGACAGCTAGTGAATAATTTGAAATGTCTTCTTCCATAACTTTCTAAGTTGTTTGATGCCAAAGATGATGATAAGAAATATTAAATGACAATAATATTATAGTAACATTTATTTCAAACAAATATATATTTAAGTAAAAGATTTGTTTCACGAAATAAACTGCAAAATGTCTTAAATCACTAACACAGTATCATGGAAGAAAACATTGAAAACTATTCACCAACTGTCATGTTTAGTGAGACACCCTGTATTATCCGATCATAATAAAATTATTATCACAGTGTCTCTGGGACGTTAGAACGACATGGTTAACAAATTATCGAATTTGGTCAACCCTCCTATGAATTTGGACACCCTGTATTTGGACACCACTTTTTAAAACTAAGCCAGGGATCTGGTTAAAAAAAATGCACAAAACGGTTCAGAAAGGGTGATGGGGGGGCGGGCTGTAATTATCTCTCAAAAACTTTAACATTATCATGCTTTCAGCACATCTTCTATTTCAATTTTAAACATTTTCTCTTTGTAAAACAAAAAAAAATAGTTCGTTGATTTACAAATTTCGTGGATTTTCAAAATTTAATGAAATCGAATTTTGTTGAAGGCTATTTTTTTTTAATTTTGATCATCAATAAACCTTCCCTGGGATTATGTGAGGCCATATTTGAATTTATAACGTCTGTTTCCTAATTTTTAATATTCTTTCTTTGCCTCATCATTAATTAAGTCATAAGAAAATTATATTTATGAAAGAAAACTTAAAGGGAGTGTAAAGGAAAAATGAAAGGGGGTATAGGCTGAAACATGAGAATCTCAAGAGTTGATTGAGACATATAAGAATTCTGTCTGATGAGGGGAGGAAGGCCAGCCACAGCAATTTTTCATCCGAGCACCATTCTCCTCATTTTCTTGTCCGAGCCACCTCGAAATCCTCTTATTATGTATTTTTAAGTTTCTAATTCTTGAAGATAAGGCTATCTTTTAAAAATCAGGCCACGTTAGGGCATAAAATATGGATAGACTAAAGTATTACATCATGTTGAAATCTTCAAAGCCGTGAGAATAATGTCAAACTTTATTTAGGTGAAACTTAAATCTTTTCTGCCTCCGTCAGGGCTAACCTTCGTGATGCAAAATAAATAGCAAAATATTTGCCATACATCTGCCTATAATTTTATACAGATATATTCAGACCCCCAGGTTAAAACAGCTTCTCTTTGATTACTTGTAAACTTGTTATTCGAAAAAATCTTTTAAAAAGTCGTCTTCATTGTATTTATAATCACATCATTTCTAAAATGCATTTTTCATGCTTTCAAAATTACCAAATTACCTACAAACGGGTGAGACTGTGATGACGACCTGAAATTATTTACATAGAGCTAACTTCAAGTCGTTTTCCAACTATTATGTTTGGAGTCCCGAAGGATGCAACACTCAACTGTATACAGAGTGTACAATTAACATCTTTCTTCTTTTTCCATTTTCTAATGGAAGTAGTCGTAAATATACCCTTACCGGTATATTTACGACTACTAATGGATCGCCTTTAAATTCAGGGACATGTATGATCCTTTTAAAAAACGATAGAAAAAGGATCGTTTTTCATTTCGTTTTTATTTTTTTCTAACAACGATCGTTTACTTTTTGGAAAACTGCAACTTTCGTTTTTGAAAACGAACCAGTCGTTTTTGACTCTCAAAAAAAATGAAAAACGATCGTTTTGTTTTCTTAAAAACGATCGTCTAAAAAAATTCGCTTAAGAAATTTTAAATATTTGTCTCAATCAAAATTCGATCGTCATTAAATTTTTTAAAATTTTGAAAATCCACGAAATTTTTTGTGAAAATCCGCGAATTATTTTTGTTTTGTTTTACGATGTACACAAAGAGAACATGTTCACAATTAATTTAGAAGATGGGCGCGAAGCGCCCTCTAAGGCTAGTGATGTCAAACTTTATTTAGGTGAAACTTAAATCTTTTCTGCCTCCGTCATGGCTAACCTTCGGGATACAAAATAAATAGCAAAATATTTGCCATACCTCTGCCTATAATTTTATACAGATATATTCAGACCCCCAGGTTAAAACAGCTTCTCTTTGATTACTTGTACGTAAACTTGTTATTCGAAAAAATCTTTTTAAAAGTCGTCTTCATTGTATTGATACAATCGCCTACCACTTTATAATCACAACATTTTAAAATACATTTTTCGTGCTTTCAAAATTACCAAATTACCTACAAACGGGTGAAACTGTGATGACGACCTGAAATTATTTACATAGAGTAACTTCAAGTTGTCTTCCAACTATTATGTTTGGAGTCCTGCAGGATGCAACACTCAACTGTATACAGAGTGTATAACAGTTAACATCTTTCTTCTTTTTCCATGTTCTAATGGATCGCCTTTAAATTCAGGGACATGTACGATAATCCTTTTAAAAAACGATAGAAAAAGGATCGTTTTTCATTTATATTTTATTTTTTTCTAGCAACGATCGTTTACTTTTTGGAAAACTGCAACTTTCGTTTTTTAAACGAACCACTCGTTTTTAACTCTCAAAAAAACGAAAAACGATCATTTTATTTTCTTAAAAACGATCGTCTAAAGAAATTCGCTTAGGAGTCTAAAATTTATTGAAATTAATTTAAATTTCTTATTCAGAAAGATAAGGTTATGAATGTTGTCTCAAATGTTATTTTTATCGAAACAAATAACCTTAATGTTTTCTGACCTTGGATTTTCCGACCAAAAGATGTATTTTCTCTTTAAAAAGTCGCATATAACGATCGTTATCGAAGGGTAGTCATTAATCGTCTTTAATGAAGGGTCGTCGTTACCAGTTGTTAAAGAAGGGTCGTTGAAAAACCACCGTGTTTAAAAAAAGGAAAAAAACGGTCGTAAAAAAGATCATTTTTAAATCTATTGTTTGGTGTTTCGTTTTTGCTGCTTTCTTAACTTTTAAGGGGGAGTGGTTAACGTGGTTAACTCCCCATAGCCTCCCTTTTTACACGCCCTTGTCTTCGTTCTCTTTCACCCCCTTCCCCCCCCCCTTTAATCTTCGTTTTGCTTGAGTATCTGACCTAAGCACTAATCACTAAGCAGTAACTGCATGATTTTAAGTAATTAACAATTCAAGGTGAATCATTTGACTGGGGATTTAAGGTGAGAAACAAAAAAGTCGGATCAAGAGGGTGGAGGGCAGGGTAATGTACATGGGGGGGGGGCAAAGAATCATAATGTAAAGATAGTTATTTCAGAGGTGTACGCATTTTTAGTACTGCAGTTTACTATCTCTGGGCGGTAAAGTAAACAAAAGAAGAATGAATCACAGCCTGACATGGGATCCATCATAAAAAAATCAATGTTGAAATATTTTGGTCATAGGAAACTAACATAATACTGAAGCATCATTCTTGTTTACAAACACCACCCAGAGAAGACGCAACAGCAATTAACTTTCCTTGCCTTATTACCTTGGGTGGGGGNAATTAGAACCTTTAGGTTTAATTGATTTACAAATGAATGCTGCAAATTATTTCAAAGATCAAAGACGACCTTCAAGTCGTCTTTCTACTCTCATGTTTCGTGGGACACCTGGCGTAGAAAGTGTAGAAATGTCTTGATTTATGTTGTATTTTTTTCTGTATAGAGATAAACATTATAACTAAAGTAATTATTCTGAAAACAAAAAGCAACCTTGAAAAGGTTTTTAGAATAAAAAAATCTGTTGCAGGGGAAGTTTTTAAATTGCACAAACTGCAGAACATTTTAAAAAAGGTTTTATGTAAAATATCAATTTTTAAGATGATTTGCATTTTTATAATATTTGACAATTGCTTATCCACTGCTTTCTTTAATGGTTAAAATTCGTGCTTTTTTAAAGCTGACTTATTTTTACAAGTAAACCTTACCTGTCTAGTAAAGACCACGGTACATAATCAAAAACCGGTTTTCTTTGATGTCTGGCCCGGCCACTTGTAGTGGACCCAAAATAACTAAATCTAGAAGTTTCTACGTCCTTTAATACTTGTTTCCCAGAAAACCTTCCAACACTTTGCGATTTTTGAGGAAACATTTTATCATAACCTTTAGAGGCAACACAATTAAAATTCATAATTTTCAAACTCGATAAATTTACATTGTTAATTTCACTAAATCCACTAAAAAACCAAAGAAAATCAAGGAAATTCAGCCTGTACAGTAAAGACCTGTTAGCGGTAAAACCGTAAAGAACTAACTGACAAAATCACATACTGGAACATATTTCATGCTTGACTGGTTTCAACCTTTTTACCATCTTCTCTTTTAATTTAATCTCTTTAATAATTCAAATGTAAATTTAAACAAAAATGTGTTGCTCAAAAAGAATATTATAGAATAAAATGATTTTTTCAATGTCTGTTTTATGTTTAAGGCTGTAACTTAGAAACTGTACTTAAAAAATTTACATTTGTAATTTTAAGACCCAAATACCGTTTACTATGTAAAAGTTGTCCTCAAAAAGGATTCTTGGAAATCCTGCAAATGAAAAGGCCTAGTTTCTTTACTTATAAGAGATTTCATAACAAGCAGCAATTTAGTTTTATTTATTGATTAACTATTACTACATACTTTACTAGACTATTACGGTGTTCTCAACTTTAGATTGTGGTTGAGCCAATTTCAGAGAGAGCGTCTTCAACAGATTTTCTAGCTTCTTCTACTTTCTTTTCAGCATCAATCTTACCAGCTAGTTCTATTGCTGCTTTTAATTCAGCTGCTGTCACTTCAGTTTTCTTGGCCTCAGCATCTTCTGTAGCTTCTTTTGCAGATACTACAGCTTCACCTGCAGCTTTTAAAGCTGCCGCTTCTGCTTCAATGGACGATTTTTGAGCAGCATCTTTTGCGTCCTCTGCAGCTTTTTCAGCCAAATCAGCTGCTGCCTGTGCCTTTACTAAATCTGCTGCTGCACTCACAGATTTCTGAGTAGCTAATTCAGCTTCCTTTTCAGCTGTTGTAACAGCTAATGCTGCATCTTTTGCAGCCTTGTCAGCCTCGGAGACAGCTTCTTCTACAGTTTTAAGTGCAGCTTTAGCATCATCTAATTTTTCCTGTGCCTCTTCTTTTGTTCCCTTTTTTACGGCAACTGTAGCAGTTGCCTTTGTAACAGCCTGTTCCGCACTTTCCGACGCTTTTTTGGCAGCTTCTAAGTCAGCAGCTTTCTTAGCTTCTATTTCTGCTATTTCGGCCTCTTTGGCAGTCTTTTCTGCAGTTTTGGCATCAATAATTGTTTGAAAGGCAGCCTGGTCAGGAGTTGCAGCTGCAGCCTTGTCTGCGGTTGCTTTTGTTATGTCAGCTTCTAGTGTTGTAATATCAGCTTTCAGTTTATCAACATCCTCTGTGTCATCAGCAGCCTTCTGAGCAGTATTTACATCCTCAACCTTTTTTTCCCAATCTTCTAGGAGCTGAGCTAACTTTTGAGCTGCTGCGGCAGATTCTTCAGATGCAGTAGTAAGGGCGCTTGCTGCTTCCTCAAAATTTGATTTTGCTGGAATAAGAGCAGCTTCAGCAGTTGCAAGAGCAGTTTTAGTTTCTGTTACCAATTTCTTAGCATCATCAACCTCTTTCTTTTTCAATATCTCATCTTCTTCAGCTTTTTCAAGAGCAGTCTTGGCTTCCTCTAAATTTGAATTGGCTTCTTTTTCTTCTTGAGCTTTAACAGTTGCAGTATTTCCATCAGTTACAGCTTTTTTAGCAGCAACGCCTGCTTCTTCTGCTAATTTGAGAAAAGCAGCTTCTGCTTCCACCTTTTCAAGTGCTTGGGCCAAACGTTCTGCTGCCTTCTTTGCTTCAGCTGCAGATTCTTCAGCAGCTATTTTGGCTAAATCTGCAACTTTCTCAGCCTCTTTTAGTTTTTCTGCTTCTTCCTCAGCCTTTTTAGTTGCTTCATCTTGAGCATCTTTCTTTGATTCAGCAAGAGCTTCTTGAATTTCTTTTTTAGCAGCAGAAGTAGCTTCTTCAGCAGCAGTTTCAGCTGCAAGTTTGGCTTCAAGTGCTGCTTCTTTAGCTTCAGCAGCAGCTTCTGTTGCTTCCTTTTTAGCAGCTGAAACATTTTCAATTGCAGCTTGAAGTTCAGCAATATCTGTTGCAGCCTTTGCTGCTGCAGCTGTTGCTTCTTCTGCAGATAAAGCTGCTTCTTCAGCAGATTTTTCTGCTGAAATTTTAGCATCAACAGCAACATTGGCAGATTCTTTAGTTTCTGTTGCTAATTTTTTATTTTCATTTAACTGTTCAGAGAGCATATTTTCTAAGTCAGTGGTGGAGATAGGAGTAGACTTAGTGGTTATTTCAAACGGCGAATCAGTTGATTTTGTTGTAATTTCAAATGGAGATTCAGTAGATTTAGTTGTGATTTCAAATGGTGAATCAGTTGAATCATTACCCTCCTCCTTTATAAGCTCAGCTGCTTCCTTAGCTGCTTCCTGAATGGCCTTCACTGCTTCATCCCCTGCTTTCTTTGTGGCTAATGCTGACTCTTCCGCTACCTTAGAAGCAGCCTCTGCTGCCTCTTCTGCTGCTTTTTGAGCAATCTCTGCTTCTTCTTGAGCTTTTCTTGAGGCTAATGCAGATTTTTCAGCTGCATCTGCTGCTTCCTCTGCAGCTTTCTGAGAAATTTCTATTTTTTCCACAGCTTCATTTGTTGATTCTTTGTCATCTTTTTTTTCTAACTCTTTCTCTGCAATTTCCTTTGCTTTTTCTTTCTTGGCAGCCTCTTCAGCTAGCTTTTTAGCAGTTTCCTCTGCTACTTGCTTTGCTTTCTCTTCAGCAGCTTTTATAACTTCAGCTTCTTCTTTCTCTTTTTCTTCTTTTTCTGCTTTCTTTTTTGCCTCTTCTTCTGCAATCTGCTTAGCTGCTTCTTCTTTCATCTTTTTTACATCATTTTTAATATTTTCCTTGGATTGGTTTTCATCTGATTCCTTTTCTTTTTCTTTTTCAGAGGATTCTTTTTCTTCATATTTGTTTTCATCTTCATGGGAACTCTTTCCTGCTGGTTCCACAACATACACTTTTGGAGAATCTACATTTACTTCTTCAGTTTTATATTCTCCCTGGTCAACCTGATTATCTTTATTGTATGCAGTTTTTTCATACGCCAATCTTTTATCAAGTTGCTCCTTCAAGGCTTGTTTTAAGCTGGCAATTTTTTCCCGTTTGGCATAAATTGCAGCTGCGCTTTCAACAACAGGTCCCTAAATATTCTTATTTTACAAGATTTTAATAATTAAAAATCATCAAGCTAATTAATCATTAAACTTCTCGGTTTACAAAATGGAAACTGGAAAATTTCCATTGAATACACCTGAAATTATCCAGTTAAAATTATGTGGACAATTTAGTTTTTATCAGATAAAATATCTGGGGGGCTATAGAGGTTCAGTCTCTGCCTTTTTTGTTTAACTGGGGTGTTCAGGTCTCAACCGGTTCTATGTCCCCCTGAAAAGAATTTTTAAGCTACCCCCACCCCAAAAATTAGAAAATTAATCAAGGTTGTTCTTCATTCAAAAATTGAATTTTTATATCTATTTTACATAAGGTGAACAATATTTTTAAGATACCTTATTATTGATATAACTTGTAGATGAGGGCATTTCAGATTCATCAGCTACATAACTTAAGATAAGATAAGATAAGATAAGATAAGATAAGATAAGATAAGATAAGATAAGATAAGATAAGATAAGATAAGATAAGATAAGATAAGATAAGATAGATAAGATAAGATAAGATAAGATAAGATAAGAGAAGATTAGATAAGATAAGATAAGATAAGATAAGATAAGATAAGATAAGATAAAATAAGAAACTATAATGAGCCCTTATTAGAATTTCAATTAAATAATTAAGAGATCTTTTAAATTTTTTTTAATTGTTGATTAAAATTTGCCACGTCATTTAATTAAAAGAAAAGAGGTCCATTATCTAAAGTTTTTTTTAAATTTTCAGTAAGGTGCTTAACTGCGCGTTTTTGGAGCAACAATTGGTTGAATTTTTTCTATTTCATGATTGTGACTTATTAAAAAAACATTGGTTTTTTACACTCTGAAAAGTAAAAATAGGCTTAAAACATAATTACCCATTTTCCTGGTTTAATTGAAGAGTTGGTTGTTTTTCAGAAATACTAAGAATAAAAAATTTCACATGAATTATAAATGGTTAGAAAGAAAGAAATTTTGGTTATATCTTGAAACATTGAACAATGAAACATAAAACATATTATTTAGTTTTAAGAAGATAAGTTTTACGTACAATAAATTCCTGAATACCTCTAAGTAAGATAGGAATACAGTAATTATCTGGAATATCCTTCAGTTGAGTAGGAATACAGTAAATACCTGGAATACCCATCAGTTGGGTAGGAATAGAGTAACTACCTGGAATACCCCTAAGTTGGATAGGAATACATTAGCTACCTGGAATACCCGTCAGTTTAGTAAGAATGCAGTAACTAACTGGAATAGCCCTAAATTGGATAGGAATACAGTAATTACCTGGAATCCTATCAGTTGGGTTGGAATACAGTAATTACCTGGAATACCCATCAGTTGGGTAGTAATACATTAACTACCTGGAATACCCATCAGTTGGGTAGGAATACAGTAACTACCTGGAATACCCATCAGTTGGGTAGGAATAACTGGCTGGAAGTATTAGTAATACACTGCACCATGCACTGTTAATTATCATGCTATAGGTATGAATAACACTGAAAGAGTATAAAATGAAATTTTCCTATAAAACTGTAATCATTGAATATGAAATTTGATATTTCTTCTTTCTTAAACACTCTTTGATATATATTCCTATTAATATATGTATACACGGATTTATAATGTTTAGAGATTAAAATGGATCTTTTTATGCTTGGCTTTTTTGTCTATAGATTCTGATTCAAAACATATTTTTTGAATTATTAAAATAATATTGTACAAGTTTCTAATTATCTTTTATAAAAAAATTTTATTTATAAAAAAAAAAAAAATTGTTAAAAAAGCAAAAAGTTTTGTGATCAAAAACAATCCCTGACTTATCGTAAACTTTCAAAACCTAGTAATATTCGACTCAAAGAAGTTCGTAGTAAGATTTTGATTCTACTGGAGACCACCGGAGGGATTTTATTTTCACTGGAGGGGTTTCAAAAAATGCCTTTTACAATTAAAACTTTACGCAGGGTGATTTACATTCCACTGGAGGGATTCAGATATCCTTCCTGGGGGGGTTATAATTCCACTGGAGGGATTCAGTTATCCTTCCTAGGGGTTTATAATTCCANATCTGAATCCCTCCAGTGGAATTATAAACCCCTAGGAAGGATAACTGAATCCCTCCAGTGGAATTATAACCCCCAGGAAGGACATATGAATCCCTTCAGTGGAATGTAAATCACCCTGCGTAAAGTTTTGAATTATAAAAAGCATTTTTTTAAACCCCTCCAGTGAAAAAGAATTCCCTCCGGTGGTCTCCAGTGGAGTCAAAATCTTACTACGAACTTCCGTGACTCGTAATATTCATCATATTGTAAACGCTTTAATATTAATTAGGAGGGGATAATACCCAAAACAGAAAATTGCTAATCTCCACCTAATTGTTATAATTATATAAAAATAGTTGCAGGTTTTTTGCCTGTAACATTAGAACTTGTATGTGTAGTTTTAGCAATAAACTATATCTTATCTTATCTTATCTTAACTAAAGATTGTATTCTATAGATTTATAATATTTTTAACAGAGTTCCAAGCAAGCTGAATACTTTATTCTACATCACGTGGTTCTGTCAATATTTCAGAAAGCTGTTATTTTCGATCACAATTTGACCAAATAAACATAATTTTTTAGCCTTTACTTTTTGTCAGTAAATGCCCTACTCCTAAAAATGCTTTCAGACCCATATCAATCCATGTTACAAATCAATCTAGAATTCGAGGTTCCTCATGAATACCATAGTCAATATCAATCCCGATATATGACAATCAGGAACTCAAGGTTCACACGAATACCATAGCCAATATCAATCTGGATACGGCTCAGTCTGTATTCTAAGGTATGTATCCCTGATACACTCTCGGTAATCTTTAATATGTATCCCTGATACACTTTCTGTATTCCTTGACATGTATCCCTGTTACACTCTCGGTAATCTTAAACATGTATCCCTGATACACTTTCTGTATTCCTTGACATGTATCCCTGATACACTCTCGGTAATCTTTAACATGTATCCCAGATCCAACTCTCAGTAATCCTTGATATGTATCCCTGATTCACTCTCGGTAATCTTTAACATGTATCCCTGATACACTTTCTGTATTCCTTGACATGTATCCCTGATACACTCTCTGTAATCTTTAACATGTATACCTGATACACTTTCTGTAATCCTTGATATGTATCCCTGATACACTCTTGGTAATCTTTAACATGTATCCTTGATTCACTTTCTGTATTCCTTGACATATATCTAAGATACACTCTCTGGAATCTATATACATATCCCTGATACAGCTCAATGTAATTCTCAATCTATATCTATCTTTCAAGAAAGTGATTCAGGATCCCTCTTGTTTGCTAACCAAGAAGAATTACTCTCACACTGTAATCAAAGTGGAGTGTTTTCCAACTGAATGTATCTTGGGTTCTATCTTACAAGTTAAGTTAATCAACGTGATTTCAAGTTTTACAACGTAGATGTAGCTAGGTAAGGTTAATTGCAATACAAGTTTTGCGTAGCTATTTATAAGCGCATTTAGATTTACAGACAAGGTACAACAAAATATATCTAGGTATGTTCAGGTTAACAAATAAGGGTTTGCCACAATATTGGTTACAAATGGGGGGGGGGGGAAAGTCCTAAACAATAGGGCTATCTATCCCTATTCCAGAAACTCCACATTCATATATTCCATTTTGTAACTTGAATACATTACTTCTTGGGTACTTTGTTGTAAACCTCATTTGGAACCTGATGAAAGACCTCTTTTGATTTACATTAGCATTTCTGTCAGGGAACCAGTTTAGAAATCTGTTCTGCAAAATCACGGCAGGATTCATGGGGTACAGGGCGGCATACCCACTGAGAACCTCATGCATGTCACCCTACTCTTGGCACATTATGGCATTGTTGTATAGGATCATCCCAATATTTTTCCTTTGGAACATTCTGGCACACCATCTTGGGAATGCTCTTACATACTTGACGCGTTTCAACCCAACCTTTTCCTTGTGAACCTGTTTACAGAGCTGACTAGATTCATCCCAACCTTTTCCTTGTGAACCTGTTTACAGAGCTGACTCGGTTCATCCCAACCTTTTCCTTGTGAACCTGTTTACAGAGCTGACTAGATTCATCCCAACCTTTTCCTTGGGAACCTGTTTACAGAGCTGACTAGATTCATCCCAACCTTTTCCTTGTGAACCTGTTTACAGAACTGACTAGATTCATTTGGGTACATCATTGCACTGCATAGAGGTCACTTCATCACCACAGATACAATTGCATACAGGATAGTTTACAAGGTTGCATACTCTAACCTTCTTTGTAGAGCACTCATGGACAGTTTCATTAAAGCACTCTCGGACAGTTTTACATTCTTTGACACTCTCAGTAGAGCCCACTCTTTAGAGACAGTATTGCACACTTGTTCCGGAGCCTGTCTACATTGCCGGACATTCTCAACCTTGCACTGATGATCAGTCCCGATGTCGCACTCCTTCTCATGGGTGATCTTCTTCATGTACATCTGCACGCTATTGCATTCCCTGCGCTTGTTCCTTAACACAATCTGTCACAGGTTGCTAGTTCCCTCTCGTTATGGTTGATGAGGCATGAGAGCTATTCAGTTCAGAAATACTTTACTATCAATGTTAATCCTTAACTAGTACTACCACGGCGCCACTTTAGTTCCAACTGGTTGCGAAAAAATGACAATATTCCTTCGAGGTTTGGGAACAAATGTGATAATCGCTACTTTTGAATAGTTTTTAAAAAAGTGCTCGTGCAGTAATAAACATTTTTTAATAGTTAAAAAAATATAGATTAAACAGGACAAGGGCAACAATTTCTATCAATAAATTAATTTCTTAGAAGACGTGTTAGCGAAAAATGAAAGTGGGTATAGGCTTACGGCAAAAAATAATCGCTTTTGAACACTACTAATCTTACTTCTATCAGTTGCGTCTATAAGGAGAACATTGTTAAAAACGGCTTATACAAAAGAACGTACGCGTCCATACAAATCCAGAAATGTGCAATATATGACTCGGATTGTAAAAAAATCAATTTAATTTTAAACAAGTCATTCAGATATTACAAGATTTAGTAATCCGTTATTTTTCGACTCAATTGTATAAAGTTAATATTTCATAATATCTTTTATTCTTTGTGTATACAATGCACTTAAAACGCCAAAATAGTTGGCCGCCAGATGTCTCTGCTCTCGATGCTTTGAATGAATACACGTGGCAGAGACCTAACGGAATAAAAGTCGTTTTATGACATTGTATATAAAACAATAACAAATAATATAAAATATTAACTATAAATGAATCCGTTGAAAAATAATTGATGACTTTAGGTTGTAATATCTAAATGATTTTTTTTAGAAATTCTGCAGTATAAGTCATTTTAAACAATTTTCTCCTTATAGACGCCAACATAGAAGTAAGATTAGTAGCGATAAACATTTAGAATTATTGTCACGATTCGGGCACCCTTCTTGTTTAAAATCCGCAAGCAATTCAAACCCAAACTCACTTTCATAATTTACTAAGTCACTTAGAACTAAAATTATCTTGCAATTATCTTATTGTAAGAACAAATTTATATTGATATTTTAATTTCTCAATCCCGTAATGATTTTATAATTATGAAAAAACAATTAAGTTTTTATCTTTCATTTTGTTAAGATTTGAATGAAAACTTTTTTGTTACAAAAGATATAAGTTGTTCTTTGATGTCTACATTAGTATACTTATAAAACAAAACAATATAAAACAAAACAATATAAAACAAACAATATAAAAATAGAATCATTTAAAGAAAAAAAGTAAAAAAACGTTTAAAACATAATAGTTTAAATTTTACCTAAAAGGTTGGGGAGTCTGAGGTCAAATAATTAGAATTAAAAACATAGAATTATGAATCGGTATGGGAAAGTCACAGAAAAAAAGTTTCTGAAAAAAACCTGGAAATAAAAACTTTGGTAAAAAGTCCCAATTTTCTGAAGTCCAAAGACTTTTTTTCCTATGTCTTGGGAAAATGAGGTTGAGTCTTAGACGTTTACAAAAAACGGACATTTCTTTTTTTCAAAGACCTTTTTTGGCGGTTACCAGGAGGGCCGGGGGGGGGGGTCGAATCCTAAAGGACATGAAAGTAATATTATATTGAGTTAGGGTTTTAAACTAGATTAAACTAGAAATCTGGATTTATAGGTCAACAAACAAGTACACAAGTGTTGCAAATAGAGATGAGCATCGTTTTTGAGAACGTACAACATTTTTGAGAACGAACAAAATTTTGATGTAAAAGGGCGTTGTTCAGAAAAAAACGAACAATGTATAAATGTAATATATCGTTCAGAGAAATTAAAATGATCGTTTTTTAAAAAGAATGAAAAGAAACCTGAATGATTATAAATTAAACTTGAAAAAGAAAAGTTTTTTTTACTGAACAAACAAATTTTCCAGAAGATTTGGAAAACAAACTATTTTTATACTGAACAAACGATTTATTGTAACAACAACAAATATTTTAAAACAAATTGATAGTTTTTACTAAACGAACGTTTTTATTGAAGGAACGATTCTAATGAACAACCGATTTTACTGAACAAACGATTTTACTGATCATTTTTTCAGTGATTATACGAACAAAATAGATGGAAAATGAACAATAATTTTGAGTACGAACGAAATCAATTTTTTTAAATGATTGAAAAAACTGAATTTAATGGGTCGTTCACAAACATTGAACGAACGAAATGAAAGTTGAATGTGCCCATCTCTAGTTACAAAATAAAACATTGTTTACCTAAAAAACAAATGGGGCTCAGATTTTACCGTTCGTTTTAACTCACTTATGCTTTTCTGTAGCCTTCTACATATACATTTTAGCACTGTTTTTAGTTTTAGTTTTTAAGAAGTAATTGGCAAAATTCTCATTATTTTTTGCTTGAGAACGTGAGAACTTCAAATCACGTGCAATCTGTTCATGTCTGGGGTTTAAACCTTTTCCAGTATTGATAATCAAAAACTACTCGCCTTGGTTAGCCAAACCAAATATAAAAAAATACTGTTTGTTTTTAGTTAGGTTAGGATTGAAGTTTATACAGAAAACAGTTTTGCTCTTATGTATACTTTAAAAAAAACAGGCAAATTTGTTGATATTTGGCTGTCTATGCTCTTGATATAAACAAACTAGCCATCAATATTATATTTATTAGATTCAAAGCAATAATATTGTAATGTTTAATAATATCCTAAATATATGATTGTTGATCAAACAGTTTTAGGTCTATATTTTTTATGCGTATATCCAGAAACTTTGATTTTCAAGTATCAAATTTCATATTCCATATTTACAGTTTTATTCCAAAATGCTAGTTAAACTACAAGTTACAATGTGTTTAGTGCTTTCCTAGGGTTTCCAACGCAATTGCGAGCCCTTGCACGCAAGTGAATTTAATTGCGTTTCCTTTTTAATGTTCATCCAATGTGAACAAATGAAAAATGTATCATATTATATTGTTAATTAGTAGCTTAACCACAAGAAATTTGAAAACTGTTGAAGTAAGTGATGCCTCGATTATTTTAAAATCAACAGAGATATTTAATTCCATTTTTGTATATCTGCTGCATAGATTTGTAAGTCGAACAGTTAAAATTATTGATTTTTAGATAGAAAAGCAATTCCGATGAACGCAATTCCGCGCAATTCCACGGAATTCCACTTAATTCTACGCAATTCCGCGAATATTTAATTGCTTCCTTTTTCGCAATTATAGAGCAAGCGGAAGCACCCATTGCACGCAAATCTGCGCAAGGGAATTCCGATTGGAAACCCTAAAATTTCCACTCTGTCTAAAGCATGTTGATAAACAGAGTGTGGTTCTTTGTAGTGCTATTTTTTGTGGTGAACTTTCCTATTACAGCTCATGGATATCGCTGGTATGTTTAATAATCTTATACTCTTCTAACTCAAATTATAGTTATACAAAGCATGTCCAATTGACCTTTAAAGTTTGCAACCCGATCACCTTTATGCCACCTTGGCTAGCTTTGAAGATTTCATTATTGGGCTTATTTTTGTTGTAGTCTGAGAATATATAAATTCCACTCTCAAAAGTGTTATCAATTGATCAATGTCAAAAAAATTGATAATTTTCCTTGTTAAATTTGAAAAAATAATTATTCATTGCTATCCATTAAATTTTTTTTTAATGCTATTGTCTGTTCAGGTCACCTGTAATAGAAAAAGCTAATATAGCTGAAGAGGCAGTAATGGAAGCAAAAGAGTTTGCCAAAGAATCAGAACAAGCCTCTAAGAAAGCTGAAAATGAAGCAGCGACTGCTCAAAAAGCTGCAGAGTCTGCAGCAGCCTCTGCCTCTAAGAAAGCAGAAGAATCACAATTATCCACAAAAGAGGCAGCAAAAGAAGCTGACAATGACATTCAAGAAGCATTAAAAGAAGCAACTGAGTTCATTAAGGAAGCAATAAAAATAAGCCATAAAAATAAAGATAACATACAAAAGAACCCATCTGTAGATTCCACAACAAAATCCTTTCGCCTTTTATCTGAAATTACAACTAAATTGCACCCAATTTCAACCACTCACTTAGTTAATGAGTTGTCTGAAAAGATTGGAAATGAAAGTAAAGGTATGGTAGCAAATATTAGAGAATCTGCCAATATTGCTGTTGATGCCAAAACCTCAGCAGAAAAATCTGCCGAAGAAGCAGCTTTATCTGCAGAAAAAGCAACAGCTGTAGCAGCGAAGGCTGCAGCAGATATTGCTGAACTTCAAGCTGCAATTGAAAATGTTTCAGTTGCTAAAAAGGAAGCAACAGAAGCTGCAGCCAAAGCTAAAGAAGCAGCACTTGAAGCCAAACTTGCAGCTGAAACTGCTGCTGAAGAAGCTACTTCTGCTGCTAAAAAAGAGATTCAAGAAGCTCTTGCTGAATCAAAGAAAGATGCTCAAGATGAAGCAACTAAAAAGGCCAAGGAAGAAGCAAAAAAACTAAAAGAGGCTGAGAAAGTTGCAGATTTAGCTAGAATAGCTGCTGAAGAATCTGCAGCTGAAGCAAAGAAGGCAGCAGAAAATTTGGCCCAAGCACTTGAGAAAGTGGAAGCAGAAGCTGCTTTTCTCAAATTAGCAGAAGAAGCAGGGGTTGCTGCTAAAAAAGCTGTAATTGATGGAAATACTGCAAATGTTAAAGCCCAAGAAGAAAAAGAAGCTAATGAAAATTTAGAGGAAGCTAAGACTGCTCTTGAAAAAGCTGAAGAAGATGAGATTTTGAAAAAGAAAGAGGTTGATGATGCTAAGAAATTGGTGACAGAAACTAAAACTGCTCTTGCCACTGCTGAGGCTGCTCTTATTCCAGCAACATCAAATTTTGAGGAAGCAGCTAGTGCCCTTACAACTGCATCCGAAGAATCAGCCGCAGTGGCTCAAAAGTTAGCTCAGCTCCTAGAAGATTGGGAAAAAAGGGTTGAGGATCTAAATATTGCTCAAGAGGCTATTGATAACACAGAGGATGTTGAAAAATTGAAAGCTGACATTACTGTTTTTATAAATCAAAACAATAAACTAAATGCAGACTTAGATGCAGCTGCAGATTCTGATAAGCCAGCAATTCAAAAAGATATTGATGATATGATGGTTCCATGGAATGCAGCTGCAGAAAAGTATTTAGCATTGCTAGCTAAGGAAGCTAGTGATTTGAATGATGCCAAAAAAGCTTCAGAAAGTGCAGAACAGGCTGTCAAAAAAGCAACTTCTGCTGTTGCAGTCAAAAAGGATACCAAGGAGGAAGCAGATAAAAGAATGAAAGAGGCTACAACTGCTCTTAAAGTTTTAAAAGAAGCTGCTTCTGTAGCTGACAAGTCTGCAAAAGATGCTGCAACAGCAGTATTAATTGCAGAAAAGGAGGCTGAATTAGCTTCTCAGAAATCTGTGAACTCAGCAGCTCATTTAGAAGCGGCAAAGGCAGTAGCTGCTTTGGCTGAAAAAGCTACAGAAGGAGCAAAAGATGCTGCTCGTAAATCTTCCAATGAAGCAGAGGTATTAGCTCTTAAAGCTGCAGGAGAAGCTGCCAAGTCTTCAAAAGAAGCATTGGAGGAGGCTAAAATCACAAAGTCTAAAGTTGTAACTTCTGCATTAAAAGCAGAGATGGAACTAGCTGCTCAGGTTGCTGCGGAAAAGAAAGCAGAGGAAGCTAAAAAGTCTGCAGAAGAAGCACTGTCTAAAGCCAATGGTTTAATTACCTAAATATAGAAGAGATAATTTAAATGCTCATGTACTAGTTCATCTCTAACAAATTTTCCAAAAAAAAATTCAATGACCATTTTTTCAGAATTATGAATGCATTATACTTTTTTAAAGAAGTTATGTTTGTTTGTTTAGATTAAATTCAGGGCTATTATAGAAGTCTCAATAACTCACAAGTTTATTTATACATATGTTAATCGTTTAACTATACTAAGAATGACTTGTGTAAAATCCAAGATTCAAAATGTTTGTGAAATTTCTGTGAAACCGTCTGGACCGTCTCAATTATAATTTAATTACACATGTTGGAAAAAATCATATTTTCTTTTAACTAAAAACCAGGCCTCTACACTATATTAATGCTTTTAAGAGAAGAATAAAAATGTAGATTTATTTTTAAAACAAAAAACAAAAGAGCTTGCGTTGGAACCGATTATTTGAATTTAAAAAAAACTGAATGCTGATTAATTTGATTCCTTGTGTTCATTGGTCAACCCCACACACAAATACTCATAAATAAAAAGTCATAACTATTAACTTTAAATCGTTATCAAACGGATTTAGTCGCATTAGAAAAAAAATAACAGTTGAGAACAAAATCTAAACAGATGTGTTTTAAAATAACAGCTACCTTTTTTCTGCTTTAAAAACTCGGTGATGGTGATGGACCAAACCTCTGTAGAGTAAAAAAGTAGATGTTAGTTCTACATTTATTGAAAATATATTTCGGTCTGGGTTGACCCTCATCAGTTCTTGAGATTGTTTCTTCACAAAGATTAAAAACAAACTCTTTTTTCTGCTTAAATTTGCATGAGGTATTTTCTGAATTAAAATGAAAGATATTTTTTGTATCTTACCTTATTTCTCTTTTCCCTCTTATTTGTTGAAAATGAATGTTATGCCTTTTTGATGTTTTTATATGTTGTCTTCAATTTTTCCAGCTATTTTTACATGAAATAGTTGTTAACAGCTTTATAAAGGGACTTTAAAGGAAAAATGAAAGGGGTATAGGAAACCTGAGAATCTCAGGTTTTGAACGATACCAATAAGGCATCTATCTGATGTTCCTGTCTCAAGTAATTGGTATAAAACTGTGTCAAATTTATAAGAAAATTCATATATATGCAATTTTGTATAAAAGTTGTAGTATTAAACAGATCATATTTAACAAATACGCAACCAATCTGAAAACGACGATATCCCACTGGAGCCTGAGAATCTCAGGTTTGCTCCTATTATATTTTTTTAATTTTGATTTTGCACTTTTAATAGATATGATTGATAATATAATTTCAAATTGTCCGAATAGTCCGTATTACTTCACCAGAACTTCAGCCTATGCAAGGTTGTAATGCAAGAAAAGTTAATTGCAGTTGCGAATACTCTGCGTACATATTGAAACCAGTTCACTTTGGGCGGAAATTGTAAACAAGAATAGATGCATTAGTGTTCATTTAGTTACCAAGGAGGTTAAAAGCATTAAATTTTGATAATTTTGATAATTCACATAATAGTTTCCTAGATGACCAAAATATTTCATTGATTTTTTATGTGATAGAAGGATCCCATGTCAGGCTTCGACATCTGTCTTGTGTTCCCATTACCACCCAGAGACAGTACACTGCAGTACAAAAGATTCAAACACCCTTGAAATAACTTTCTTTGCATTATATCCTTGAGCCAATAGCAGTGTAGTATACTGGTCACGTGATTTCCGTCTGCATCACGTGACAACAATAATTTCAAGTGGCAGTCATTGATAGAGTTGAATATGTGATTAAAATTGGAACCCTTAAAACCTTTGTCTGATAAAGTATAAATTAGAAATTCATATTTTTCTTTAAAAAACTGTTTATTTTCAATTTCGGGTTTTCTGCAAAAGTTACTTGCGCATTTCTTGTTTCAGAAACAATGAAAAAAATTATCAGAAATACAGACTTTTCAAGCCAGGAAAAAAAAATTTATATCTTTCATAAAATTGATCAGATTAAAGTTACAAGGATATTATTGTGAATCATGCAGGGTCACTTGAAATCATCTCCACAGTCCAGCTCCTATTTTGGGCAAGTTTTTTTGCAGTTCTTTATTAAATCATAATTTACAGGCCCTTATCCTTATCTCCAACTCTCCTTTACCTACCATCTAACCTTCTTACAGTCACAAGAAGAGAAATGAGACTCGAGGACATTTCTCTGTTGGATCCTACAACAAACTTACCTCTGAGCAGGTCACTTGATAATACTTCGTTAAATAGCAACCCTGTTTGTACAGGAAATTAAAATGTGCGGTTCATAGCAGGGAAGCTATTGCTTCCTTGCTGGAAATAGAAACTTGAAGGGCTAGAAGTGATAACCTTGCCAATGCAAGTAGACAGAATGTTCACCGCTAAAGCTGCAATTACAATTAAGCAGCGAAATGAGACGCGAGGACATTACCTCTGAGCAGGTCACTTCCTTCATTGAATAGCAACCCTCTTTGTACAGGAAATTAAAAATGTGCGGTTCATAGCAGGGAAGCTATTGCTTTCTTGCTGGAAATAGAAACTTGAAGGGCTAGAAGTGATAACCTTGCCAATGCAAGTAGACAGAATGTTCACCGCTAAGGCTACAATTACAATTAAGCAAAACAACAAAGTGGAGAGTGGTACATCTATACAAGGAAAGGGTGATCCTGCACTGTCTTATAATGGTACAAAGACAGAGACTCAAAAAATTCTTTCAAAAGCAGGGCCATGAATTTACAGGCAAAGGGAGGCAAGAAAAAGAGAAACTGCGAAAGCACAGATGGAGAAAAAGATGATTGATGAACATTTGAAGCTATTAACTATGCGATTTTATTTTACATAATTTATAAAAAATAAATTATAAAAATATTGTTAAAAATTAAATCATAATTTAACTTTTGACAGAATTAAAACTGGTTTGTTGAATAAACATTCCATTATCTATATTTCAGAATCTATCAGACGAAACCCCACAGTTCTAAGCCCTAACAGATCTTTATCCCCTATGGTTGTAATAGACGCAGCTTGCTTTGAACGTGAAGCAGATGCCTCTGCCACTTTTAAAGCAACAGCTGCATCAATGGCTTTCTTGGAAGCAAGTTCAGCTTTGTCTTGGGATTTCTTTGCTTCTAAAACAGCCTTTTCTGCAACTTCTCTTGCTTTGTTGGCAGCCTTTTCTGCTGCAATCATGGCTGATGATGTATTCTTCACTAATGCTAATAATTCGGCTTTTGAAACATTCCTACCAATTTCATGTGTCAAATTTTTTTCTATTGCTGAGGAGTTTGTTGTGATCAGGTTTGTATCATTATTTTTGTCAGAGATGTTCTTTGAATTAATTTTTTGAAGTAAATTTGAGTTTTCAACAGTTTCTCCCAAAGATGAACTATTGGTCAAATTTAACTTCATATCTGGGGTTGGAAAGAGTTCAACTTTTGCTTTAGGAAACATGTCAGTAATATTAATTACAGGCACCAAGATATCACCTGATTTTACAGCTAAATCATCACTTGCCATCGTGACTTTCAGACTTGAGTTTGTATTTGGAGTTGTGGAATTTGAGTCATTCTGTGAAGTAGCATAGTCTGTGGAAGCTTTTATTTGAATACTAATTGAGGATTTTTCACCAGAAATATTGCTTTCTTTGGGTTTCACTGTTATATCAACAGTCTCATTTTTCTTACTTATATTTGCTGCTTCCCTTATTATGGCAGCTGCTTCCTTTGCTGCCTTTTTAATTGCAATCACTGCTTCTGCACCCGCCTTTTTTGTTGCACTTGCTGCAGAGAGTGCAATCCTTTGAGCAGCAATAGCTGCATGTTCTGCTGCTTTCTTTGCTAATTCAACATCTTTTAGAATTTCTTCAGTAAACTTTTTCAAGGCTAATTCACCTTCACTCTGAAGATCTGAATTAGAATTAGAAGAACTTTCTTTCTTTCCTTCTTCTTCAGAACCACTTTTGTTTACTTTTTTGGTTCCTTCTTCCTCTGATTTTTGTCCTGCATTTTCTTTAATTTTATTTTCATCTGTTTCCTCGTCCATTTTTCTTGCCACATCTTCTAATATCTTTATCGCTGATGTTTCTTTGATGTTCATGTCAATATTTTCATGATGAACTTTTTCCTCATCTTCTTGAGTCTCTTTTGTCTCTTTCTTGCTCTTTTCAGTTGATTCCTCTTCTACTGTTTCCTCTGTTGGTGTTTTTTTAGTTTTATCGTCTTGCTTATTAAATATTCTTACCCTTTCTTCTCTGTAGTAATCTTTTTCATTTTTATCTGTAACATCTTCTTTACTTTTTTCATTAGCATTAGTTTTGTTTTTAATGTCAATTCTATTTGTCTCATTTTGTTTTGAATCATTTTCTGCTTCTTCTTCTTTATCTTTCAAATCTGAATCTATGTTCGATTTCTTTCTGTCATCACCATCAGAATTTCCTTTTTCCTTTTCATCATTGGCGTCAACTTTATTTTCCTCTAAATTATTGAAGCCTTCATAATCCTCATCATATGTGTCTTCAGGTTTCATTGTAACAGTCAATGATTTATCTTTAACCTATAAAAGAACATTTAATGTAAAACAAATCAAAGAATAAAGTTCAGAGTATATAATTTTATAATTAACCTACCCCCCCCCCCCCCCCACATTGGGACCAGGATGGGGGGAGGAGGACTTTAAGTATTTTTTTACCTCAAATTAAACATCCCCTTAAATATAAAAAAAGATTCTGGGGTTGGGGTGGGAAGCGTAATGAATTTACCCCTGCGTTAAAATATTTTATAAATAATATTATTTTCACTGAGTGATATGCAAGTTTGTTTTGATATACCTCGATATCATTATTGTTTTTGAAGAATATACTGGGATTTTTCTGAATTTCTTCAAACCTAGAATTACTTTATAATACAAACATATCAAAATAATATAATAAAATTTTTCTTTCTGTAGAACCTGTTCTGTGGTGTCTCAGTTGTAAACATGTGTAATGTTGGTCTGTTGAATCTGCAATTTATAATACAGAATTAAATTTCAATAGTTTAATCTGTTTATATATGTGTACAGTTTTCCTGTCTGGGTGTCTGTCCTTTTTTATCCAATAAACGTCAAAACTGTCAAACCCATAGGGCCCAAAATTACAAAAGTTTGTCTCCAAAATTTTTTGATTTTAGTAAAATTTTAAAATCCACAAAAAAATAATCAAAATAACATTTTTAAATTCAATATGAGTAGTCAATTATTAGCCTTGTCTGCAATCAATAGTAAAAAGACACATTTAATCCTTTAACTGGAATCTGTTTTAATCATTACATCAAAACAAAAATAAATTTTGTGGGCAAATTTTTGTTAAAGAATATTAATTGTTGCTAAAAAAATCGTTACCAGCAAAACTTATTAATATTAAAAATTGCGTAAAAATTAATCATTTTGAATTAAAATTTTGTATGTGATTATCAACAACATTTTTTATTAATGGTTTTTTTATTCATGCTAGAAAACATTGTTCTATATTTTACTAAATAGTGTTCAAGGCAGGTACAAATGAAATATAAATTTGTGGTTGTCGATAAAACATTTTACTCATAAATTGCGTTATAACCTTTAAAATATACTCAAAATATATACCCCACCCCGTCCATTTTCCTAAGATTTCTTTTTAAAAAATCAAACATCCTTTTTAGAAGACTAATTGTTTTTTATTTCAAGTTTAAAGAAAATGAGTTTATGCCACAAACTCTAATTTTCATTTACTATACCTTTACAACCCGATTTCGTAGACAATTAATATGGAAATATTCAAGGTTTAAACCATTAGGTTGAAAAGATATTGGGATTAGTATATTTGACAAAAACTGAAGTGTAAACGGTTTTTTTGTAACAAGCTATTAGTGAAAATTCAATGTTTCTTTTGCCATTGTTTAATGCAACCCATTAAAAGTCTGGAAACTGAAGACGACACTTAAGAAATTTTACATGCATTTTCTGTTGTAAAGCAAATGATTTACTAATAGCAAAAAAATCAACTTATTAAGTGGAACGGGTCTGTGAACATAACACAATTGCTGTGTTTCATGTTTATTTGACTAATTGAAATCATAACTTTAGTTGGCGTGGCTCATGTTTGAGGTTAAAAAATTTAGAAATGTAGATACTTACTAAAATGCAAAAATATTTCATCATTTGGAAAATGCGTGTTGTTAAGGATACTATAAAAAACTGATATTTTAATCGATTTGTTAAAAAAATTTTATAAAATTTTTTTTCGCGTTGTTTGCGTTAAAAAAATATAGCCTTTGTCTAACTTTATTTGATATATTTTAACCCCAAACATGAATTCAGAAAACATTTTCATTGTGGTTTGTAAACTAAAGCTAATGCCGCTTTTTTACTCACTTTGTAAGTAACATAAAAAAAAAACACAAAAAGAACTAAAAATTCGCCACAAATTATAATTTTCTAATATAATATATCTTTGAAAGCTGGTGTTGTAGACTTATCATATTTCATTCTATGACTTCTGTTAGATAAGAAAGTCTAAAAGAATTGAGTTGTTGTCACAAACTTATAATTCTAATCCTTATATCTTTGCTACCTAATGTTGTAGACCTTAGATATTTCAAACTATGAATTCTGCTAGATACAAGAAAATCCACCGGAGGGTCAGTTTGCATTGAGTAAAAAAAGAAAAATTAACCCTAAATTAGCGTAAAATAATTTACAACTAATGTTCCGCATGCAAAAGTGATTTGCCTTGCCGAATTTTAATTCATTTTATGAAGTGTCCCAAAACATTTCTATTTTTAAACTCGTTAAATACACGATGATAATTTCAAGTGATCCTATATTTAAAGAGGGCCATGCTCGATTCCCAATGGAAAAGTGTATACCTTTATCTGATTGATGATTTGAAAATACAAGCGTTTTCCTATCTTGTAAATGTAAGCCGGACATGCCACTCCATAAATGGAAGGTCACTTGAAATTACGTCTCTGGTCCCTTTACGACACACCCTTGAGTTGAAAGTCTATTGCTAAAAACTTTCATTCACAAATTTAAAAAACCGTTAAAAATAATAATATTATAACATCTTTATATTGCATATTCTTCTACACATTCTCTAAAAAGGTAAACAATACAACAGCAACATACATAATACAGGGTGAGTAAAAAAAGGATTAACAACACAATTTTTTTTGAATGGCATGTTTTAGGATGAAAAATACTAAAGTAGGAATGTAATTATCACGGAAAAAATCATGTACATGCTTTCATTTAGAAACAATATTATTTTTAATGAAGCGTAATGTAAGAAACGTTAAGGCTTGAACATTTTAATACAACGCAAGGTAAAGAACATTTTTTCAAATCTTTCTTAGAAACGAAACGAATAAAGAGTTTTGATTGTCAGTTGTAAAAAAGTGTAACACAAAAGTTTTCACAATAACGTTTCGATAAATCGTAGCGTAAGAAAAGTTGCATTTTAGTATAATTTCTAAACGTAATTAAAATAGTTTATATTGGAAAAGTTATCATAAAACGTAACGTTAACAATGTAGAGGATATGAAATCCCCGAAAGAGGATTATGAAATCCGCAAATGAGTTTTGTCGGACCCTGGAACCGGAGAAGACCTTCTCAACTTCCTCTCCTTTTATACACTCTTTATTTAATATGTATTTATATCTAGAAGCAATAAATGTACTTCTAAAACAAAAAATATTCTTTGCACTGAAATACATTGCAACGTACAGAACTAGGCCTAAAAGACGTTTTATTAAAGCAAAACGTTTGTCACCTTTTTGTTTTCAAACCAAGTGAAAGTGTAACGTAAGGTCTCTGAAAACATTTACCTTGCATGAAAGTGGTTGTATTGTGGTTATATTACTAAAGCTTTAACGCAACGTTGGGAAAGTTTTTAAAACGGGAAATGCAAAAGCGTAACGGAGCTTACTTTTTTTCTTTAACATTTACAAAAGCTTAACGTTGTATAAGGTATTCAAGTGCAGAAAATTCATTACGTAACGTTGCTCTATGCCATGAAATTTCATTATGTGCAACGTAACGTTTCAAACGTTTAAACTTTTGATGAACACTATCGTAACGAAAGCTAAAATCTAGAAATATCAAAACGTTGACATCTCTACTTTTTAGGTCATTTTTCCCAACATTGAACTTGCTCAATTTAAATTCTAATCTGTTTTATAGAACTTTAAATAAAATTATTATTTAAATTTTGTTGAGAAATTTTGGAAAAGAGACCGAGCACATTTTCGAATATTTGTCCAACCAGGGTAAACCAGCATTTTAGAGAAAAATGATTTATCGATGATTCCCTCTCCCCGCCCCATTTATGGGGATTGTACCTACCACCCTTTATCACAATACAACTATGTTTATTTCCCAAATAGCCTAATCGAACTTTTTTGTTGTCGAAAAATTT